GTAAACATTTATTGAGGGCCTATTGTATTTAATGCCCTGAAGTATTATAGGAATAATATAATTTTGAAAATGGAAAGTAAAAGACGGTTTAGTTTTTTTCTTTGTAATATCAAGATGTAGTGAAAAGGGCTGGGGATGTGGCTCCAGCGGTAGCGCACTCACCTGGCATGCGTGCCGCCCGGGTTCGATCCTCAGCACCACATACAAACAAAGATTTTGTGTCCGCCGAAAACTAAGAAAATAAATAAATATTAAAATTCAAAAAAAAAAATGTAGTAAAAAAGATATTGAAAAATCTTGATATTGTTATGTTCTTAAATATGTGTTTATTTCCTTAATACCTACATCTCTTCCATTAACACCTCCACCCTGTCCTCCTTATTCTATTCCATTAGCCTCCTTGTTTTTTTTTTTTTTTTTTTTTGAGTTTTTCAGCCACGTTTACTAGCTCACATAAATATTTAAATCAAATACATCTGTCTTCCCTTTCTCAATCCTTGGGATAAGTTATCACAGTTTTTAATAAACAAAGTATGGTAAATATCCATAGGAAAAAGAATTTTAAAATATGAAAGAGAGGTTAATAAATAGCCAAGTACATCAACCATTGAAAGTACTGCCTTTTTTTTTAAGATAAGTCACTGATTTGCAACTTTTATTAAAATAAATTTAATCTTTTAAAAACCAGGTAATTTATAACTTGATTTCACTTGATTTTTTGGGGGACAGCAGTTGAATTTCTTTACATCAAAATTTGCAAAACTTCAACTAAAGAACAAATAAAACATTCAGACACAGTTTTACACTTCAAAAATTCTACCAACAAATAAACAATGATAGCATATCAATTTACATTAGTACTATGGTCCAGATGCACTTTCCATTTAAGACATTTTAATCACGCCTTGTGTGGCATGGTGACTTCTAGTGGGAGTTAGTGTATAGTCTGTGTTTTTTTTTTTTTTTTTTTTTTTAAAGAGAGAGTGAGAGAGGGGGGAGAGAGAGAGAGAGAGAATTTTTATTTATTTTTTAGTTCTCGGCGGAAACAACATCTTCGTTGGTATGTGGCGCTGAGGATCGAACCCGGACCGCACGCATGCCAGGCGAGCGCGCTACCGCTTGAGCCACATCCCCAGCCCTATAGTCTGTTCTTGATGAAGACAACACTAGACAGATGTTGCCTGACGCCTGGGTAATGCTAAATGTGACAAAACCTGCGAGACACATTGAGATCTTTCTCCTTTTCTTGAGCTGTCAGGTCAACTATAAAGCGATGAAGTCCATAGTACAGTAAGAATATCTGCTAAGTTAAAGTTATATCCTGTAAGGTTGACTTTATCTTCAAGATACAAATTCAGATCCTTCAACAGAGTGTGGATATCCTCTTAACTGGGGATGTCTATCTACTCGATGACCCTTTACTCCAGCCACTGCTGAACTGTTGCTTTTTCTTCTGCAGTACTACCCAGCAAATACTCCTTGTTGGCTTCTTTGACTAGATGAGTTGCTATGGTAGTCAATCCTGTTAGGCTTGGACCATTGTTTGAAGAACTGGAATCTGTTGCTCGCCCTGGGCACTATACTTATTTCCCTTACTCAGCCCCAGGGACTTCTCCAGCCTAGCCTCCTTGTTGACCCTCAAATCTGCAAGGCATCTCTTAGCTTCTCTTATATCCTACAAATTTTTGCTAAAGTGCTACCTACTCAATGAGGCTAACCCTGACCATCCTATTTAAAATTGCAACCCATTTCCCATTCCTCTCACCCTAGTCTCTATATTAGATCTTTTACCTATTTACTTATTTACTCCAATTACTACCCCACATTCCCACTGGGATATCAACTTCCTTAGAGGAATTTTTTTTTTGTGTGTGTGGTGCTGGGGATTGAACCCAGGGTCTTGTGCATACGAGACAAGCACTCTACCAACTGAACTATATCCCCAGCCCCCTCTTTTTACTTGTTGATGGACCTTTTATTTGCTTATTTATATGTGGTACTGAGAATTGAGCACAGTGCCTCACACATACGAGGCAAGTGCTCTACCACTGAGCTACAACTCCAACCCCAAGCTTTTAGTTTTTAAAGAGTCTGATTTTCAAAAATATCTAGACCATTTAGAATGGAACACAACATTTGTTTAATGGATAAATGCTTTTTGCTCTGAATTTTCTACTCTGTGTCTAAGCTAAACTTTTCTTTGTATCCAACTCAGATTCCTCCCATCCAGTCCATTCTTTTTGTTCATTTTTTTAGTTGTAGATGGACACAATACCTTTATTTTATTTGTTTTTATTTTTATGTGGCACCAAGGATGGAACCCAGTGCCTCATGCATTCTAGGTAAGCGCTCTATCACTGAGCTACAATCCCAACCCATCTTTTTTTTTTTTTATTTTTTTTTATTTTTTTATTTTTTAGTTCTCGGCGGACACAACATCTTTGTTGGTATGTGGTGCTGAGTGAGGATCGAACCCGGGCCGCACGCATGCCGGGCGAGCGCACTACCGCTTGAGCCACATCCCCAGCCCCAACCCATCTTTATGCTCTTATAGTTGTCAGTTAGTTTGTTTCTTTGGGTAAAAGTATTGTAATAATAGAAATGGGCTCATTTTATAAGCATCATTCAGCCACCAGTTTTCCTTAACTAATATATTGGGAAAATAGTTATAGACCAGACATTCTTATTAATGAATGCATAGTGTTCTACTGAATGGCATCTAATAGATGGAAAATGAAGAATCCCCCAAATAATGTGGCCTGAGAAAAAGGGAGTAAAAAGAAAGCCATGCGTTGACAGCTTTCATTTCCCAAGACAAATGCTTCTCTGATGCTAATTGCAGGCAGGAAAGAGGTGTCTCCTCCCACTGAGGTGATAGCCTCTCAGGGGCACTGACCTTCCTTGGAGTAAATCCTCTCCAGATGCGGAGCACAGACCCCTGACCCAAGAGCTCAAATTTCTCAGCACTCAAACTGACCCCTTCACTATAGAACAAACCCCAAATTCCTGGGTGCCCAAGAAAACTGGTATGCTCATTAGACCACCTCTCAGGATAACCTATATAAGTCCAGGCCCTTCCCATTTCAGGGGCTCATTTTCCACTAGGAAAGTGGGTCCCACCACGGCATCATTTCATCCCTGCATCCCCTGTTCCTGTGTTAAACTTTGTTGCTGAATAAAGTGCTGATCTGATCTGTGAAGTTTGCGTTCATCCTGGTCTTCTTGTGTTAACAACATTAGTATGTAGGAGAGGAAAAAATAATTTTTCCTCTATCCTTCTGATTAGTGTCCTTCTCCTTGATTCGTACAGATCCCTGTAACAAAAGACAGATTAACAAGAGAAGAATAAACAAAATGTTTATCACATGTATATGTAGAAGATACCCAGAGAAATGAGTAAATATCTAAGAGGTTGACTTTGAATTCAGGTTTATAGCATCTTCAGTGAAGAACAGTAAATTTTTTTAAAAAATATTTTTTAATTGTAAATGGACACAATACCCTTATTTATTTATTTTATATGGGTGCTGAGGATCAAACCCAGTGCCTCTCACATGACAGGCAAGTGCTCCATCACTGAGCCACAACCCCCAGCCCCTAAGAACAGTACAGTTTTAAAAAAATGACAAGACAAGGAAAAGGATTTTTGAGTCTCTAGGGGCAGCAAATTGTGGGAAGACAAATAAATGGTAGAGAAAAGCTCTTGGATAAAGTTAGATATAGATTCCTCTGGTCATGGCTAATTAAAGCCTGCCAAAAGACAAAATTATGACAAATTTAAAGGTTTCCATTGGCTTTTTAAAAATATATCTTTATTTCTAAATGGTGCTGAAGATCTAACCCAGTGCCTCACACGTGCGAGGCGAGCGCTCTCACTCTGAGCCACAATCCCAGCCCCTTCCATTGGCTTTTATTTGTGATTCTAGAGTTGGGAAATGCCTCATTCTGTAAAATAGAATGAATATCCAATGAGCTGAGCAGAGGAGGTTGGCTTTATAGACAGAAAAGGGCTGAGGAAAGCAGAAACAGAGGACAAAAAGCATATTAGTAATTTCAAAGTTACTTCTCTTTGAAAGATTAAAGCAAAGAGAACTTCTTTCTCTTGTCTGCTATAACCAGCCTGTTTGAAAATTTAGCTGTGTTATATCTCTCCTGATTTCTTGGAAGTCTGGTCAGATAACATAGTTTCAGCTTGGTGGCAAGGAACTTTAGCATGAGTGACTCCATTTGGTTTGGTTTGGTTTATTGGACCTATTGCACGAACTCTGTCCAGACTAATGGTTTCCTATAATTTTTTTTTTTTTAAGATCTAAATTTGTCTTCAGAAAGTAACTCTTATCCTTCCAGGTAGAGAGGGAAGAAGAGACACCTTTGTGTTTGAAAATTTGTGTCCTACTTTTAGGCAATTTTGGTGGGACAGAGAGCTTTTCTTGTACCTACATTTTTACAGTTGCCTTCAGCTTTAAATAATCTTTATGCCAAAGAGGCATATTTTGAGATGCACATTCTGGGCTTTTACAGATACACTACTTTTATTCATTTCTGTCACTATATTGTGCTACCTCCACTTTGCACTGCCCCATCGCCAGTCTTATTTTTCTTTTCACCCAGTACCATTTACCCATTTGTCTCATGAGGCCCTGGAATAAAGTGATCACTCAATAAGCATTTGTTGTCCCCCTGGCCAGTTTCTGACAGCTGTGTGCGTTCTCTGTGATGGTGAAGAAAGGTGTTTTATCGGGAGGAAGAACAGATGGGGCAAGCTTCTAACCATGCCTTGGATCTTTTCTGAAGGAGGGTGGGTTTCCGAGAAGCGTAGCGCGCTTGGGGGACTGAGTGGCCTAGGATATGGAGTTGGGGTGGATTTGGGAAACGAGGGACAGGGCAGGGGCGTGGCCTGTTAGGGGCGTGGCCGGGGAGGAACTGGGCGGGCCTGCGCCGAGCCTGGGCGGGGCTCGGAGGGCCTGGCAGTCTAGGGGCGGGGCGAGTGAGCGCGCAGACGCGCCGCTGCGTGGGGACTGTGGGGAACTGGAGGCCGGTTGCTGCGTTTGGGAAGGCCATGGGGCACGTCGCCGGGGAGCTCGGCTTGTCGCTGCTGTGGCTGTGGCTGCTGCTGTGCAGCTGGGGGTGCCTCGGTAGCGCCGAGCTGCGGGCTCCACCGGAGAAGATCGGTAGGCCAGAAGGGGGCGGCGCGGGAGGGCTCTGGAGCGTAGTGCGCCCAGGTCCGAAAGCCAGGATTCAGGCAGGGCGGGCAGGTCGCGCCTTGACCGATTCACACCTGTGGTCAGCTTTCCGTCTTCCTAAAGACGGATTGCGCTTCCTGGGCTTGGAGAGATGCCCACTTGAAGCATGGGCTGTGATGGGGACCAAGCGTCCCTGCAGCCCTAGTCTTGGAGGCCTGGGGCTCTGGGGAGGATAGGGGTCCTTTTTGCTGCCTGCCTTTATGCTGCCTTTTCGGGAGGCCAGTCTTTTGACCGGTCCTGGAACGCCTGGCTGCTCCTGCCAAGCAGATTTCAGGCTCGCCCAGACACAGCACAGGGAGCAGTGCAAACAAGCTCACCCTGTCTGCTTCCCTTGTTAGGCTGAAACCCCCTCTCCCCCTCTCCACTTTGCTGAGGTCGGCCTGCTCTGAGGCCCTGGGATTGCCCAGTTTCTTTGCCTAGGGTTGCTGCAGCTTCCGAAATAATCTATTCTGTTTCTCGTTTCAGTCGTCTTGGTTTTTTACTTCTGGTCCCTTTACCCACCAATTAAAGCTCTGTTATTCCGAATCATTAACCTGTCTACACTGAGTCTACCCTTGAGACAAAGAACAAAGCTAGGCAAAAATGGCGGCCCCTTTATTTAAAATGCATCCATGAGTTGGGACACGGAAAAGGGGTTTGCAGGCCCACTGGTGCCTCCACAGACCTGTGAGAATCTTTGGGCATCTGGAAAAGAATTGAATTGATGTCAGTTTGTAACTTAATCTGCATTTGACTGGGAGCAGCCTCTGTCCACATTCTGGGAGTTCTTTCATTAGAACCTTCCCCTTCAGGCTTCCCTAAATTGTTGACAGTAGCCTTGCATAACCTCTGTTATTAGCTTGCGACCTTTTGAAGGCAAAACAAAACCCACACTGGTAAGAAAAAAGAAAAAACAAAAAAACTTTTTTCTTTCCTCTCATAGCAATTATTGGAGCTGGAATTGGTGGCACTTCATCAGCCTATTATCTGCGGCAGAAATTTGGGAAAGATGTGAAGATTGACCTGTTTGAAAGAAAAGAGGTGGGGGGCCGTTTAGCCACCCTGACTGTGGAAGGGCAAGAATATGAGGCAGGAGGTTCTGTCATACATCCTTTAAATCTGCACATGAAGCGTTTTGTCAAAGACCTGGGTATGTAATTTTGGTCTTAGAGCTAAGCAGAATTCAGTATGACCAACCCTGGATATTTTTATCATAGGAAGAACTGAAACTTTTCTGCCTTGTTTATTGTCATTTACAAAGAAGTTGGTGAAATAGTTTCCCTTACTGTCCAGATAGCAGTTGGTGCTGTTTTAGGAGTCATTCTCCTGTAATGGGAGACTAGTTATCTGTATCTTCTGTTATCTGGAATTACAGCCATGGGGTTGAGAAGATGGCTGTTGTTGTCAATTCTTTTTTTTTTTTTTTTTTTGATGGGGGTGGTTACTGGGTATTGAACTCAGGGGCACTTGATCATTGAGCCATCTCCCCTCCCCATTTTGAATTTATTTAGAGAGGGTCTCATTGAGTTGCTTAGTGTCTCGCTTTTTTGCTGAGGCTGGCTTTGAACATGCGATCCTCCTGCCTCAGCCTCTCCAGCTGTTGGGATTACAGGCATGTGCCACCCTGCCCAGCTGCTGTTGTCAATTCTTAAACCTCTCAGTTTGTGCGAAGAATCAGAGAATGTTTTGAGCTAGCAGAGACCTTAGAGTACTCATGTTACAGCTGAGGAAATGAGACCCAGTGGCTTGGAGTGCCTGGCTTAAGGTCATTCACACAGCTATGGGTGCTGACATGTGCTCACTGCTCAGGATATTTCACTGCTGCCTTGCCAAGCAGAGGTGCTGGACAGGTTGTGGAGGAAGTCTGGCAGGCCTCTGCAGGCACTTTCTTTAGGAAATATTGTGGAATTTTGGCCTCCTTCCACTTACCTGAAAAATCCAGTTTTGCAAAAGAAGATTCAAATTGGAATGGGAATGCCTCTTCTCTTTGGCTACCTTGTGCATCCCCTGTGGGTGCTTCCTGTGCTTCTGTCTCTGTGACTAAGAACAGCCAGTCTAATGAAGATACATCTGCATGATCTTCTGACCCATCCTCTAGGGATTCTGCTTTTGGACAGTGCAGTGAGTGTTAGTGTATCATGCTCTTCTAAATAGAGCTCCTTTAATGTATCTCCTGAGAATTGATGGAAGCCCCAAATTCACAGTGTTCCTGGGACATCCTCTGGATTGTTTTCTTTCATTTGATCAGCCTGGAAACCACTGACTTAGCTGCCCTTTCTCTATTTTTGCAGGTCTCTCCACTGTTCAGGCTTCGGGTGGCCTACTGGGGGTGTACGATGGACAGACTCTGGTGTTTGAGGAGAGCAGCTGGTTTATAATGAACATGATTAAACTAGTTTGGCGCTATGGATTTCAGTCACTCCGAATGCACATGTGGGTTGAAGATGTGTTGGACAAGTTCATGAGGTAATTTTCTCCCCTTTCCATCTGGTTTAAGACCTTTAGGAACAGTCCTGTATCTAACTGCAAGCCCCATTTGTAAGATTCTTAGGCACACTGTTTTGTAGAAAACATGCATTGATCCTATTGGGAATTGAAGTTGTAGTTTGTTATGTGCTTCTGAAATGTACTTCACAAATGCTTCTTTAGTGTTGTCACTCTTAGGTGCTCTATAAAAATCAACTCTTTGAATTCTCATGGCAACTTTCTCAGGTAGGTACTATTATTGGCTTCTTTCTATAGATATAGAAGGTGGAAGCATCCAGAGGTTTTAAGTGTATAAGTTCACCCACCTGGTAAGTGGTGGAGCTGAGTTACCAGGTAGTCTGAATTAGAGTCTTAGTGTCAGCACTGTGCTGGTGTGTAGATGATTGAAAAGCTATAAGAAAACTCATTTAAGCTTAAATGAAGTTTTTTTTTTTTCTCTTTTCATTCATTCCCTTTCTATCTTTCTTTCTGTCTGCCTGCCTGCCTTCCTTCCTTCCTTCCTTCCTTCCTTCCTTCCTTCCTTCCCTCCCTCCCTCCCTCCCTCCCTCCCAGGGATTGAATTCAGGGCCTTGCATATGCTAGGCAGATTGAGCTATATTTCTGGTCCCTTGAATGAGTTTTAATAGTGATGATATTTCAATGAATCAACAGTCTGAAGTAGAGTATCAGGCTTGTGCCCTAAGAATTTAAATGTCAGTATTAAATGACAGCAGTCTTGGGTAGCAAGAATGCAGGTGACTCTTTTTCTTTTTTAGTCTTTTCTTTATTTCCTTCCTCTCTCTCTGATTCTCCAAGTGCTAGGGATCAAACCCAGGGCTTTGAGTATGTCAGGCAATTGTTCTACTACTGAGCTTCTATAGCTCCTAGATTGTACTGTTTTGGATTTTGAAAAGAATTCCCTTCTCAGCTGGGTGCGGTGGTGCATGCCTGTAATCCCAGTGACTCAGGAGGCCAAGGCAAGAGGATTGCCAAGTTCAAGACCAGCTTCAGCAATTTAGTAAGACCCTGTCTCAAAATAAAAAGGGCTGGGGATGTAGCTCTGTGGTTAAGCACCCTGGGTTCAATCCCCAATACAAAAAAAAAAAAAAGAATTCCCATCTCAGCAATTTTGGAGGCTGAGGCAGGAAAATCTCAAGTTTAAGGCCAACCACAGCAACTTAGTGAGACCCTCAGCAACTTAGTGAGACCTTGTCTCAAAAGAAAAAAATAAAAAGGACTGAGGATGTAGCACAGTAGTTAAACACCCCTCAGTTCAATCCAAGTACCCCTACTCCACCAAAGAAAAAAAATAGAAAAAGAATTCTCAGACTTTATGGTATTACTGTACTTCCTCCATCTTAATTTTTTTTTTAAATTAGAGCTTTATAGTTATACATAGTAGTAGGTTCCTTCTGACAAACTCATACATGCCTAGAAATCAATTTCAGTTCATGATTCCCTCCTTTTTCCTCCTGTCCTCCTTCCCCCTCTCACACTCCTTTCTCTACTTGACTTCCTTTTGCTTATCTATTAATTTATATTTGATTGGTTCTTTATATTATCTTGTCCTTCCCTCCCCCTTTCCTTTATTTTACTGTAGCTTCTGTATATGAGAGAAAACATTCAACTTTTGAGTTCCTGAGTTTGGCTTATTTCATTTAGCATAATAGTCTTCATTTCTATCCCTTCATTTCCACCAGCAAATGCCATAATTTCATTCATTTTTATGGTGAGCAATATTCCATTCTACACACACACACACACACACACTCCACAGTTTCTTTTTTTTTTTTTTTTAAAGAGAGAGTGAGAGAGGAGAGAGAGAGAGAGAGAGAAAATTTTTTTTAATATTTATTTTTTAGTTCTCGGCAGACACAACATCTTTGTTGGTATGTGGTGCTGAGGATCGAACCCGGGCCGCACGCATGCCAGGCGAGTGCGCTACCGCTGAGCCACATCTCCAGCCCACTCCACAGTTTCTTAATCCACTCATCTATTGACAACATCTGGGCTGATTCCATAATTTAGCTATTGTGAATTGATTGCCATAAACATTGATGTGGCTGTGTCACTGTAGTATGCTGATTTTAGATCTTTTGGGAAAATACCAAAGAGTGGATGGCTTGATCATATGGTGGTTCTATCCCTAGTTTATTGAGGAATCTCCATTCTGCTTTCCAGAGTGGTTGTACTAGTCTGTGGTCCCACCAACAATGTCCAAGTGTTCCTTTTTCCTTACAACCTTGCCATCATTTATTCTTTTTCCTATTTTAAAAAAATATTTTTTAGTTGTTAATGGACTTTTATGTATTTATTTGTATGTGGTGCTGAGAATTGAACCCAGTGCCTCACACATGCTAGGCAAGTGCTCTTCCACTGAGCTACAATTCCAGTCCCTCTTGTTCCTATTTTTGATCATTGCCATTTTGATGGAAGTCAGATGAAATCTTAGTGTAGTTTTTTTTTTTTTTTTTTTGGTACTGGGGATTAAACTCAAGGGCACTTGACCACTGAGTTATATTCCGAGCACTATTTTGTATGTTATTGAGAGACATGGTTTCACTGAGTTGCTTAGCATCTTGCTTTTGCTGAGGCTGGCTTTGAACTCACGATCCTCCTGTTTCAGCCTCCCGAGCCACTGGGATTACAGGTGTGTGCCACCATGCTCTTCTTAGGTAATTTTGATTTGCGTTTCCCTGGTTGGTAGAGATGGGGAACATTTTGTCATATATCAGCCATTTGTGTTTCTTCTTTTGAGAAGTTTCTCTTTAGTTCTTTTATTGATTGATTGGGTTATTCAGTTCTTTTTGTTAAGTTTTTTAAGTTCTTTGTGTATTCTGGATATATAAATACTCCTCCCTCTTGGAGGAGTAGCTGGTCCAGATTTTCTCCCATTCTGTAAGTTCTCTCTTTATGCCCTTAATTGTTGTCTTTGCTGTGCACCTTTTTAGTTTGATGACATTTCACTTATTGAGTTTTGATTTTTATTTCTGGTGCTTTGGGGGTCTTGTTAAGGTAGTTGGTGCCTATATTTATGTAATGAAGTGTTGACCCTGTTTTCTTCTAGCAGTTGTAAAGTTTCTTATCTAATTCCTCAGTCTTTGATCCATTTAGATATGAATTTTGTGCAGGGTGAGAGAGAAGGGGGTCTAATTTCATTTTTCTACATATAGCTATCCAGTTTTCCTAGCATCTTTCCCAGCCTTATAAAAAGGCTATCTTTTCTCCAAGATATATTTTTGGTGCCTTTGTCAAATATCTGATGGCTCCCATCTTTTTTTTTTTTTTTTTTTTTTAAAGAGAGAGTGAGGGAGGAGAGAGAGAGGGAGAGAGAATTTTTAATATTTATTTTTTAGTTCTCGGCGGACACATCTTTGTTGGTATGTGGTGCTGAGGATCGAACCCAGGCCGCACGCATTCCAGGCGAACGTGCTACCGCTTGAACCACATCCCCAGCCCCTTTTTTTTTTTTTTTTTAAAGCATGGAAGAGAGGGTTTATCTGGGAACTGCAGCACATACCTGTATTCCCAGCAGCTCCAGAGGCCGAGGCAAGAAGATCTCGAGTTCAAAGCCAGCTATAGCAAAAGGGAGCTCAGTGAGACACCCTGTCTTTAAATAAAATACAAAATAGGGCTGGGGATGTGGCTCAGTGGTTGAATGCCCCTGAGTTTAATCCCCAGTACCCCTCACCCCGCCCCCCCCCCAAAAAAAAAAAAAGAGTAGGATTTATTTAAGTAAGTAGAAAAGAGACAGTTTCTTCAGGGCAAAGACAGGAAATGATAGGGGTCACTCCTTGAATGCACTAGTCTGTGGATAGTGGATAGGATGGCCCTCATCCTTGACATTTGTTTGTATACACTGATCTTTATGTTCATCATACATCTCTTTCTTTGTGTGAATCAGTATCATGTAAGTTTTGTTTTGATGCTTTTTTCATTCTGTAAAACAGTTGGAGAGCTGTGCATGGTAGTACACACCTGTAATCCCAGCAACACTAGAGGCTGAGGCAGGAGGATTGCAAGTTTGATGCCAGCCTCAGCAACTTAGTGAGACCCTGTCTCAAAGTAAAAAATAAAAAGGGCTGGGGAGGTGGCCCAGTGATAAGTGTCCATGGGTTCAATCTGTGGTGCCAAACGAACAAAGAGCAGCAACAACAACAGTTGAAGAGAACGTTGGTATTCAGCCAGCATGTGCCAGTTATGCATAGTAGTGAAGGGCTTGGGATGTAGTTTAGCGGAGTTCTTGTCTATCATGCCTTTGTGTTATTTTAAGCCATTGAGTTTATTATAACAGGGAAACTAATATACCTCTTTTTTTTTTAAAGAGTGAGTTCTTAGAGAGAATTTTTTAAAATTTATTTTTTAAAATTTTTTGGTAGACATAACATCTTTGTTTGTATGTGGTGCTGAGGATCGAACCCGGGCCGCACACATGCCAGGCGAGCGCGCTACCTCTTGAGCCACAGTCCCAGCCCTAATATACCTCTTGAACATCTCCTTGCTGTATCCTTGTGCCATTCTTCTTTTCAGGATACTAGCTAAAGATTCTCATACTACTCCTCACTCAGAAACCTTCAGTGCTCTCTATTTCATAGAGTCACAGCCAAAATTTGTACCATGGTACAGAAGACCCAACAGGTCTAGATTTTCTGTCTTTATTTTTAATTTATTTTTGTTGTACACTGACTGAACTTTGAATCCTGAGCTGCTGGGATTAAAGCTGTCCATCACTGTGCCTGGTGCCTTCTTTTGCTTTAAATAGATTTTTTTTGAGTACCATTTTAATTATTATTTTTGGGGTACCAGGGATTGATTTCAGGGGCACTAGACTACTGAGCCACATCCCTAGCCTTATTTTGTATTTTATTTAGAAACAGGGTCTCACTGAGTTGCTTAGTGCCTCATTGTTGCTGAGGCTGGCTTTGAACTTGAGATCCTCTTGCCTCAGCCTCTGGAGCCCCTGAGATTACAGGCATATGCCACCATGTCTGGCTCGTTAT